TCTCGGGGGGCGTGGGGGGTGGTGGGGCGCCCTGGGGCCGCGGTGCCTCCTCCTCCATGTTGACAGCGTGCTCCGCGTTCTCCATGATCTCCTGCAGCAGCTTCCGCTTCTGGTATTCGGGGCCTGCGGAGAGAGGGGTTGGTGTGAAGAGCTGCCCTTGGAGCCGGGGGGACAGCGGGCCGCACCAGCTCCATGCCACCATCATGCCTTTGACAGCTGTGCCCCCAGCCCCAACGGGTTTGGGGACAACGGTGAGAGGGTCCAGGCTGGAGTCTGGGAGAGGAGGTGCTCCCAAACCAGAGCCTGCTTCCAGGATGGATTTCCTGCAGGAGCAGCTGGAAGCTCTGAGCCCCACTGCATGCTGTCCGGCTGGGAACAGCCAGAGGAGCAGGCTGGGACCTCCAGATAAGTGTAAAGAAACGGTGAAAATCTGCAGCCCAGCTTTTTGCGGTCACACAGATGGGTTATCCTGGAGCTAAAGAGGATCCAGCTCCCATCCAAGTTTTGGTTTTAGTTTTTGGGGTTTTTTTTAATGGCTGGGAAACCCTTCCATGTGGCTTCTGTGGTGTCTAATAGTGTGGCAGCTTCACAAGTGATACAAGGGATGTCCAGTCTCCTTGGGAAAGGCAGGTATACCCAAACGATCTACCTGTCATGCCTCACGATGGGAAAACCACATTTCTCATGCATGAAGCAGGACAGGCAGTTTCACAGCCCTCCTCTCTGCACTGAGCCCTGCAACAGCAGCAAAATTGCCTGGTGCCATCACACGAGGTGTCTCAGGGCTTCGGCTTTCATTCTAGCCTCATCTCCCACACTGACTTGTCAGCTCTTACCAGCATTGCCCTTGCCTCAGTTATTCACCCATCATTAAATCTTTACTTGTTAACCCTAGGTCATGTCTGCAAAGCAAATTGCAGCTCAGCCAGAGCCTGACACCAAAGATATCCATTGTGCTGGGCAGCTGGGTGAGCAAAATCCACCACTGAACAACTGGGAATATCTTTTGGAATAACAGCCCTGCACAGTACTCTGCATGTTGGGACCCGCGCTGGGACAGGGGTCCCCGCACGTCACTGCGATGCTCATAGCAAGTGAGAACAGGAAGAGCATGCTCCTTATGGGCAGCACGAGATCGCAAAGCAGCTTGTTTGAAAGCAAAGCACCTGCTTTTGAAAGTGGCTTTGGCCGCATTCTGCGGCACTTGAGGGCTGCAGACATACAGGGCTTGCTCTGTGCTCCTGAACAGCACAGACCCTGGAGCCGTGCCACCCCTGGCTGCCTCACAGTTCCTCCCCTTGTCTCCTCCACTCCAAGGACTGATGCAGACTTCAGCCTGGTCGGGAAATTGGGATTGGTGCTCCTTTCCCTCTAATAAATCAGCGGTGTGATTTGCACGCGGCTACCTCCTGCCCACGCAGGCAATGCCTCCGCTCGGAGTGGGCAGTGGGCAGAAGGAGGGCACTGATTTTAGCTGCTCTGCCCTCCCTGCATGCTCCTGTCAATCAGCAGGCAACCCATTCAGGGCCATTTATTTCTGGCTGCAAGTGGATTATTTGAAGCCATTTCAACAGTTGTTCAGACTCCTCAAAATAGGCTGCCTGCAGCTCCAGGCTCCTTGCTCTCTCCTGCTGCTTTCTTCTCCTCCTGAATAATTCACACCAAAAAACCCCCAACTGCCTGGAGGCCACTGCACTGCTCTGATTCTCCTCCCCACCTTCACCTCCCAGGATGACATTTCAGCAAGGGCTTTGGCTTACATCCCTCTCCTCGAAGCTGCTAGGGTTGATATCCTAAACGAAACCCAGGGCTCAGTACTTACTAGAGATATGAAGCTTGCTGAGCAGGATTGCCCTGTGCCAGACATAGCAGGGTCTATCTGCCAGGACAGCAGGGGGAAATGCTGAACACTGCCAGGCTCTTCTGGCTGTGTGACCAGCAGCTCTGACTCCTAGCAAAATCCAAGGGTGGACTTTTGTCTGTTTGTTCCTGGACAGTGCAACTGTGCAAGAAGAGACAGTTCCCCTTGTTGTGCTCTTAAGGAATTTAGAGATTTAAAAGATTCATAGAAGAAAAACATGCATCAGTGGCTTACAAGGCCATTGAGAGAGGCCAGGACCCAAGCGAAGCCCTACAAAAAAGCAGCGAGAGGATTCAGCACCCAAAGAGCCAGAAGCGGAGGCCAGGATGCTTCAGGCATTTTGCAGAGACTGTTTCAATTGTGTCATTCAATTGCCATGGGTGGAAAAAATAATCTAGCTAGATGTCAAAAACCTCCCATCAGGAATTCCAGTTTCCTTTGCCTCTGAGCTATAAATACCCCAGTGTGCAAAGGGTGAATGTGGAGCTGTGAGTGGCAGCTGGGGGGCTTATGTCAGGATCAAGTGATGTTTAGCTATTGTTAAATGAAGTGCCACATGCTGGCTCATGCCCATGCCCGGGCATTGTGGTGTTTCCCCACTCAAAGCCAGATCTGACGGGCCTTGCTGGGTGGTGGGGAGGAACGGGCAGCCCTCCAGCATGACATCTCCCCAGCTACTAGGAGCAGGGCAAGGTGGGAGTACAGGGAATTTAGGCAAATCTGTCAGCATGACTCTCCCCGGCCAAGTGCTGGGTGTGAGCCATTTCCCTTTCCCACTGCGTGCCCTGTGCCGGGGTGTAGTACGAGAGACCTGGTGGCACGGAAATCAGAGCAGGAGCAGGTGGCAAGTTTCGCTGAGCAGGAGTCAACCTTTGGCTTCTAGCCCCAGTTTTGCCGCTGTGGTGGTCCCTTGCAATCATGTCTCAGGGGCACTTGTTTCAGGTAACAAAGCCAGATAATAAGAAAGACAGGATAAAAACATAGACACTTGGATCCTTGACTTCTGCTCTGTTATTACCTTCCCTCTCTGGAAAGGCAAGCTTTCCAGGAAGAACATATCTCTAGCTAACTCGCTCTAGGGAAAGGTAATGGCATTCACAATGCTGCTTCTAATATTACATTTCCTATCCACTAATCCTCAGTGCTTGGTGTCACACAAGGAACCTCCCAAGTGTTTCCCCAGCCAAATAATCAGCAGTGATGCTAACAAATAAATAGGGAATCAGGGAAGTAGTATTTTGCATTAGCAACTTTCCTGTAGGATATTACAGCCTCTAATTAGTGGAGTCTGACTGTACCCTGGTGCGGTGTGGGGCCCCGCAGGATATGGGCTTGTGAGTCAATGTGCAAAGCTGTTCCAAGAAAAAGCCACAAGGGATGTATCTACAGGATTGCTGCAAATAGACCTGAGCTCGCTGCCTGCCATGCCTGGTGCTGGGAGGGCTTCAGCTTGTGGAGAAACATGAGCAGAAGTTGAGGGACTGAGGGGTTTTTCTCCAGGCTACGGTAACATATTCCAGCAGGTAAACCAGTGGTGTAAGGAGGACAGCAAACCACCCAGGGCAGGGGGCTGGCTGCACTTGTGCAAAAGACGATTTAGGGTAGACAGGAGGGCAACTGGAGTTATAAAGTGGGTGAAGCATTTGAACAGATTCCCCAAGGAAATTGCAAAATCCCTCTTAGAAGATGCCTCTGGTCCTACCTGGCTGATAGAAGTCCGGGGAGAGCTCCCTGGCCATCATTCTGGCTATGCCCGATTCGTTGTTAGCTGCCTGAGCTGCCTGCTCAGACCCTTCAGCCTTGGCTTTGGCATGAGCCGTCCTGTGGGGAGAAGAGGGTCAACAGTGAGCACTGCTTGAGCCAAGATTGTCCCAGTTCGCGCAGCGGATCCTGTCCAGCAACAAAATCAAATCGGCCCATCTAGCATAACAGCACTCAGCGTTTGCCCACTTGACCCAAAATCCCCCACTCAAGGAGAAAAGAGCAGATTTTCACTAAGTAAGGGGCACAGATGCGTAAGGCTAAGGTGTGAAGGCTGCACGTATCCTCGCAAGGGAACAGGGCAGGGGTATTTGCAAACACAAGTGTGTTCCTGTGCTGCAGCAAAACAGCAGGTGCTGCAAAACAGGCTTCCCGCCATGCTGGGAAGCACTGAAAAACTCAGCTCAGAGGAATGCCTAAAGCATCACTGCAGGCATCTTCGGAACACAAGGGGACAATAACATGATGACTGCACACTGCTGTGCTGTCACCAGCCCTGAGCTGCTGCCCCTCGCCAGAGGCAGCGTGCCCTGCCCAGCACACCAGACACATTTTACCCCAAATGACTCTCCTGCAGCTCTCCAGCAAAACCCCACATTGTCCAAGGGGGTCCTTTACTTGCCACAGCCCAGGGGGCTGCTCTCATCCGTTCTAGGAAAGGCAGAGCTATCGCTTCCCTCCCAGCTTGGCTCCCTGAGTCCTCTCCACTCCTTCCCACCACGTCTCCCCCTTGCTCCACAGGGCTATAGGGCTATCAGAGGTATTTCGCCGGCCGGCTGTCATATTCCTTGCATGCCTCGTGCTCAGGGCCCTGTGATCTTCACGCTAAAAGCAGGGCTGCCTTTACAGCCCAGCTGCTTGCGTTCTGGGAAGAAGCTGACTTTAAACAGCAGAAATGGCACCTTAAAAATAAGGGAGGGTGAAGCACCATGTATTCAGCTGCTTTGCTCCACCCGAGGCTTACAGAGAGCTGCTTTCCCCCTGCTCTCGCTATCACGTTTGCTGAGGCTCCCCATATCTCCCTTGCTGCACATAATGGCGCATACACTGGCTGTACATGCAAAACCATGTATTTTTGCATCGATAGTTAGAGAAGCTGTTAGCAGCCCTCAAACAGCAATTCACTACGAATTACAATGTTTAATGTGGTCTTAGGGTGTCTGACGAGCCCTTTTCAGACTTAGGCTGGTATCTGGTCATGTTTTAGAACAAAAAATGAAGAAAGGTGCAGTTCTCATCCCTACAGTGAAAATGCTCTAGAGGAAGTTTTGGACTGTCAGTCCTGAAATCAGGATTAATTCTTTCCCGTTAAACTGAGATGCAGTACACAGACCAGACTAGCTTTAGTCTGAATACTTGACAGGTGAAATGAAAAGGTGATAGAAATGCTGTTCTGAGACCCTTAGAATGTAGAAGATATATATGTACACATACATAGACCACCCCCCCCCCCCTTTTGAGTAGCTGTGGGGAAAGAACCAAATGTAGGGCATTAATCCCAACTGATACGGGCAATGGTGTGACGCGATGGGCAGCCGAATATGCTGTTCAGGGCCCTGTGATAGAGAAGAGGGTGTGGAGCTGCTGTGGCTCAGCCTGTCTCTCCCCGGGATAACATCTCACTCTGCTGGAGCCATGATTCACCCCCCTGCCCACACTCACACGTTATCTCCCCACTTTCTCTGCAGGCTGAGCTGCCTGGGATTGCTGTCATTCTTGGTCTTTTTATCCAAAATCATTACAGCTCCTGAAACACCCAGAGACAAGACATGATGAGGCAGAAAACAGCAATTTTAAGCTGCTGCTCGCAAGCAGGAGGTCTGAGGCAGCTCTGAACAGAGAAAGCACCTCCTTTTTTGGTAGCATATAATCAGTGTGATTAATTCCACTATAATCTGGCAGGGGCCAAGGGGGATGTTTCTGTGCTCTCCATGCCTGGGGGATCAGAGCAGGCTGGGCGTGCTGTGCATGGGACACACAGCCTGCCCGGCGCCAGCCCCGGGAAGAAGCTTGCAAAGTGAGGATCCAGCTCTTCATCCTGGCAGGACATGCTCCGACCCCTGGCTTTGTCCTGCTGCTCTTGGAGGACAGGATTCACCATACAGAGATAAAAATCCTCCCTTTCAGCCACTTGCTGAGCCAAGCAGAGGCTATCCCGGCCACTTCCCAGCCATAAAATCAGCCAGCTGGCCCCAGCTGGAGGAGCAGCAGGCAGCTCGTGGCAAGTGGGTGGACGCTTTCCTGAAGGTGACTTCCAAAAAAGTAGTCTGGAAGTAGACTGGATGCAGGGTCTGCTCCCTCTGCTACTAAGGACAAAGCCAAACTCATGCTGATGTGTTACCAAATGGGTGCAGACGGCTCCTGCACGCTCGGATCTCCCCCAGCATCTGGGGCTAGTGCAAGGGAACAGCCTTGTTGGAGGTGACAAGGCAGCTCCCAGTTACACTCTTCTCCTGATGGAGATTTCCTTCCCTCCAGAGAAGCTGCTGGATGCTATCTGGCTGCTGCATGGGGCTTGAGCACTGCCCTTCCTGCAGGTAAAGAGATGGCGGGGCCAGGAAGACCCAGCCTGGGTTGCAGAGGCTGTGGGGAGGATGCCGTGGGTGGTGGGGAACTGAGCCGGCTGGGCTGAGCCGTCGCTGTGAGCCACCACGGCCCCAAGGCCAGCAGGGCTCTACAATGAGCCCTCCTGGGCACAGAGGGGTGAGGCCAGGGAGGCCCTGGGGCAGCTCCCGAGCTCTCCCCGCACAGAGCTGACAGCAAGCTGAGCGGCATGACTTTGGGATCCCCCCCCTGCCCTGGGGATGCGAGCTGCATGGCAGCTTTGCCCGGCTCCCTCGCTTGGGGGGACACGCCCAACCTCTGCTCCTGTCCCCCTGCTTGCAAACTCACCCAGAAGTGTTTGATTTAGGGGGGCTAAGTTCAACACAGCTGCAGCTCCACATCTGGCAGCTCCAGTGCACCTTGTGCTGGCCCTGCCAGCATCCCGGGGAGGCCACGGCCCAAGGCAGAGCGCTGCTCTCCCCTGGCCAGCAGCCTGGCTGCAGCAGGGATGCTGATGCCCTGCACTGGGTCCCTCCATCGCTGAGTTTGTTTATTGCAGCAGCAGCTGGGTGATGAATATCTGGCTTACAAGACACAGCATGGTGTTTTAAGTACTCTGCCCCGGCTGTGCCACACGTCCCTGGAGCACAAAGGGAAGGCACTGCTGCTCGCAGCCCTCCAGAAAGCCACGCTGAAGGCTTAGTAACACTGTGACAAAGCAGAGCCTGGAGGAAAGGGCCCAGCCATAACAATAACATCTAACTTGCCTAGAGTATTTATGAATTTATTATTTAGCCGCATAGCTGGCAGTGCCTGGGAGCTCAACGCAGAGAAAAACTTGGCCCTGGCTGCAAAGTAGGAGACAAATACCAGCTGCCCTGGGAGAGCCTGGCGCATGTAACCCGCAGCACAAAAGCCTCTCCCAGCCCACAGCCTGGGGTACAGTAGTTAAAAAAAAACTCAGACAGGTTTGAGGGAAGCAGGAAGGTGATCTTCAAACCTGAGACATGAAACTTATAAAAGGAACAATTTCTTCCAAGGTTAAGATCTGCTCAAAAAACACAATCAGCTTTTGCAAAAAGGAAAATGCTGGCCTTTTGTTATATACATATAAATTTTATATTTTTCAGGTAGCACTTGAATTAGGGCCACACCTTTTTATTTACTGCTGGTTGTGCTGATAGCTCCCAGCACCTCGGGAGAAGGCAGCCCTTGCAAAAACCAGCAGAGGAGAAAGTCTGGAGATGGAGGAGGTCAGGGTGAAACCAAAACAGAAGCTCATGGATTTTATAGCATCTAGCAGCAGAATTCAAAAGTCCCTTTTCAAGACAGTGATGGAAAATGAGCCACAAACATTGAACACGTCCAACTGGGGGCAATAAACACAAAGAGAGGCCTTTTACACCAACACTGATGCTCCCTGTCCCAAGCCAGGCAGTACCGCCCAGGATGAGTGCTTCCCAGTTTCACCCTGACCCATCTCCCCAGGCAGCGCCATTAAAAATAGCTCTGAATTCTTTGCAAGGAGGAGCAGCAGCCCTGCGCCGGGCCGAGGGGAGGTATGTGGGCAATGCCTGCAGCCCCTGTCCCAGCCTCGCTGCCTCCCGACAGCAGCGGCTGGGTTGTGGCGGCTGCTCCGGGGCTGCCCTGGGCAGGGAGGCTTCACACCCCAGCTGGACGGGTGGGAGAGGGAGGGTTAAATACATCTGCTGTTTTATTTGCTCCTCTGGCACGGCTCTAATGCTCTAATTGTTTTTGTACTAGTGCAGAACAGAGCACCACTCCTGTCCTTCCTGGCTATCTCCCAGAAACACTGCCCAAATCATTCCTCTGACTGCTACTAAAATCCCCTGTGGATACACAAGCCACAGCTGAGCACCGTGCTAACAGGTGAGACCCAAAGCCAAGCCAGCATGCCCATCTCTTTGGACAGTTTATGCAGTTTTACGCATCCACATTGGATTAGACTGTAAATGAGATTGGAATTAGCAGAGAATACTGCAAATACCAGACGGGGCTGGGACGCCTGCAGGTGCGGCAATGACCTTGCGGCTAGAAATAGGGGAAGGGCTCAGCTTTCTCTGCCCAAGCTATTGCACATTTGCTTATTAAGGGAAAGACAGACCTGTCCAGCACTGTCCTTCCTTCTCCAGGGTCTCCCTCCACCCATTGAGTCAGCAAACGCTGAGCTGAACACCTTTTTCTTGCCATTCTAGACATTGTGAGCTGCCAAAAAGGCCACCAACCAAATGTAATTCATCAGTCAGTTCTAGGAAGGAAGACTTCTGCTAAACTCCCCTCTCCTTGAAACTGGCTTTTCCAACCCCAGCCAAATCCCTGCTCTTTTTTTGAATCATTTTGTCCTTCTGAAGAAACTTAAGATAACAGCTTGTCTTGGCAGCGACATCTGCAGCACTCAGAAGGGATAGAGGGAAAGCTGCAAAGTGCTTTTGCTGATGACAACATGGTCCCTTCTGTGTTCACATCATGAAGGGCAAAGACACATAGACCTGATC